ATATAGATACATATATATATATATAAAGAGATATATTGCTACACTGAACACCGAATCAATTCCCGATTTTCGCTCACCTGTCCCTTGTGAGGTCGTCGACCTGATATATATATATATATATATATATATAGATACATATATATATATAGATATATTGCGAGTTAGTTCCCAGTTTGCGACGTACATTGTTTGAGGAGTGACAACTGCGAGTTAATTCGCAGCTTTCCCAAGGTTAGACACATATTTCATTCAAGGCAGTTCTTTATTTCCACAAATGCGAGTCAGTTCGTAGTTTTGTAGGAACACTGCTGGAGGAGTTGATAACCCATCTCGTGCGGCTTTAAGGTCTTCAGTTCCACAATTCCGAGTTAGTGCTTACTTTCCCCTTGTACTTCGGGTTGCAATTGTTGTCCTGTCAGCAGAACCGCGAGTTAGTTCGCACTTGTCGACACCCTTCGCACTTGTCGATAAACCACATCTTACTCATTTCGTGCGTCTTTCAAGTCTTCAGTTCCACAATTCTGAGTTAGTTCATACTTTTTGCGGGTTGCCATTGTTGTCTTGTTTACAGAACTGCGAGTTAGTTCGCACTTGTCGACACCCTTCGCACTTATCGATAAACCACATCTTACTCGTTTCGAGTGCAGCGAGTCGGGTCGCAATCTTTCCGAAGAGTCGTCGTTTTCCCTCCAAGCTTACTCTGCCAGCCACCCAATTCTTTTGTGTTCGTTTGCATTTCAAACACCAATATCATTCTTCGGTTTCCTTCAGCCTAGAACTGCACGTCGGTTCCCCCTTGTCGATACCCATGCGGTACTTGTTGTAGACGACTTCATTCCCAAAACTCCGAGTTAGTTCGCACTTTCCTGAAGATAAATCACCTCTTCCTCGATTCTACGACAGCGAGCTCGTTCGCACTCTCTCCGTGGAGCTGTTGTCTTCCTTTCGATCTCACTCTGCTAGAGGACTGCTGTCTTTCCTATCCTTCACCCGATTGTTGTGACTTTGTGTACATTTCGAACACCCATCTCTTACGTCCTTTTCATCCTCCATTTCGTTAAGTCCGAGTTAGTTCGCACTTCGCTTCTGTAGTGGTCTGAGGTTCGGCGTGTTAGTCATCCGAGTTGGTCTGAGGTTGGGTGTGTTAGTCAACAGATGGGAGTACAATGGCGTCCGCAAAGAACACATCCACAAGCACTGGACCATCTGCCCCCGGGGAGGGACGACCTCTTCAGCAATCTACTCCTCAGTATATGCACGCAATGGGAGCACAATGGTTTTTGGACTTCGTTGTTCAGGGGGACCTTTTTGGGCCAGTTGTTTTCATGCGACCCACTTGCGTTCCATATGCTGGGGGAGCGGTCAACGTTCTTCCTCTCGGTACCATCGTCTCATGCGCCAAGACTCCTGGAGGTTTGGTCAAGCTGCACACTAACGGCTTGTACGACGAGTGCAGACTGTCTCTCAGAGGTGTTAAGGGTGTGCTGGTGACCATCAAGAGTTTCGCGGGGTACGGCTCGAACATGACGTTGTGCTCTCACTTCAAAGGCCTTTACAATGGCGGCAGCAAGCGTCTTCCATCGCCAGAGCAATATCTAGATCTCACGATGATGGTGCTGAAAGAACGTTCGGTTCTTCCGCGAGAACATGTTTTTAGGCTTCTGCCACCCCATGAGGGGTCGTCCGGCTTGGCTCAAGAAACTCCAGGGACGGCAGTGGGGCGCGGGAGTGCGATTCACGACGCTGGGGGTCGGGTCAAGGGGCTCGCGCGCAGCGTTCACACGCAGGTCGGCCCGGATGCTCCTGGGAACACGTCGGACTTGCATTCTCAGGGTACAGGGACTCAACGGGTCGGTACTCTGAAACTCCTCTAGGTCCACTGCGGCGGCGACACGTATTCGCTTCGAGATGAGACGAGAAGAGAATCCAGCAGATCGGGGCAAGATGTCGGAGTGAATGAGGCTGAAGGGATGGGCGTTGTCCGCGAAAGCTCTGGCGGGGAGCCGACTCCTTCGGAGAAGAAGCGCAAGCGACAGAGGATGGTGCGAGAGGAGGTGGCGGAGGGAACCCTCCATATGAAGAGGATGAGAGGAAAATCGGAGGCGGTGATGGGCGGGGATGGAGGTGACGTCGGAGAACGCGCCTCGGGAAAGAGGCCGTCGAAGGAAGAGGGTGAGACAACAAGTAAAAAAGCGAGGAAGCCCGACGGTTTGACCATCCGCGAAGGACAAGCCATGGGTGGAGGAGATTCGGCTAATCCAGGCACTGGGGCCGCGAGAGAACCTTCCGGGAAATCGAAACGGAAAGTGGCAGCTGAAGAAGGCGATGGCCAGAAGAAACCTCGAAGTCGGAAGACTGCTGAGGCGGCGAGCGGTGGCGAACGGCCTGTCGGTGAGGAGTGCGACGAAGCGGCAACGTTCTGGCTCGATTACGAGCGGAACGATGGCGGTGAAATTGTGGAGAAGGAGCTCCCCGTCCAACTGCTCATCGACCCCAGGAAGGTCTGCAACATCCCGCCTTGGGAAAGATATTACAACCACCACAGTCTAAGTCGCGGAACTGTGGATGAAATCAAGGATGCGATGCTGAGTCAATTCAGCGAGAAAACGGGGAAGATCTGGACGAAAAACCCTTTGGTTCTGGCACCCATCTACAAGCTGGTGGCGCGTAGGCCGGATAAAGCTGACAGGGTTCACAAAGATGTCTTCAAGCCAGAGGACAAGGACAAGTACTACTATTACCCTGTTAACGGACAACACACCGTGGCTGCTGTGAAGGAGTTGGAGGGTGAGCCAATATTCGATTTGTGGAAGATGAACTCGTGGCCGGCGAGAGTAGGGTAATTCTCCAACCGAGATTTGGCGGGGTATAGGCAGGTCAGTCTCAACGAGAACACGAGACACAAGATGTCTAAGCAGCGATCGCAGAAGGCCTCGTTCTTGGACATGCGGGAGGCATGGGAGAATAAAGGAAGGCCGATGGCCATTCAAGGGAACCCTTCCGGCAAGGAGGCCGAAAAACGAGCGTTCTTCAAATTTCAAAAGCTGCTTTTGGGAAAGAGTCCGAACGAAGCTCACTGGACGTTGGCAAAAAAAGATTTGTCGCTCGCTGACAAGGAGTATGTCGCTGCCGTTGGCAATGCATTGAGGTAGTGGATGTCGCTCGTGACGGCCGGTGATGACGTTTTCCGCAAAGCCATGGAGTTCTATGCGAAATGGGCGGAGGGGAAGTTGTTGGGCGGCGAAGGCAAGACGCCATTGTCGAGGCCGGGCAAATACATGCCAGACAGATCTCCAGGTCAACAAGCAATTCCGGAAATTGGCTTGAAAGGGGCGGCTGGTGAAACGAAGATGGGGTGGTTGGTCCAGGTCCCGCCGCCTCCGACCAAAAAGAAAACGCAAGCAAACGACAAGTTTTTCGTGGTCGTGAAGGAGCCGGACATGTTCTGTTGGCAGTGTCTCGCCGACATGACCGATGTCGAAAAACTGTCGATCCTCGACGACGTTCTCGCACTAAGGCGAGTGTTCGTGCAATCCGCGGGCGGGCATCTGAAGCGTCAGCATAAACCTGGAATTAAAGACATGGTCACGACGAGGAAAGTGGACCGTGTGATGCTCCATATGTTGCACTACATCTTGTTCCTTGAAACGGAGGAGGACGAACGTGTTTGGCGCTACGGGAGCCCTTTTTTCCGGACCGAGGGGTGGCTTCTGGAGGAGTTCGGGCCGCAGGGCCTCATGAAACAGGTGTGGGTCGAAATGCGAAAGCATTTCATGGGCGCGGTGGAGTACGTAAAAACTTGCAAACGTACTCTTCCGCACGAGAAGGAGTCCCTCGACGACGTGAAAAAATTGTACGATGATGACAGGTTCCCTAAATCTTTCGAAAAGTCTGTCCGTTCCATCTTACGACGGACGGAAGAAGAAGTTCGAGACACGATCAGGGTCAGCGGGGATGTGAGGCACATCAAATGGTCCGACCTCAACTGGGTGACCAGTCTTATTCCTTTCGCTTTCCCGCCTTCCCAAGCTCACAGTCATGTCACTGCGATCCGTGAGGTTGTGCGACATTACGAATGCAACCTGTACGTCCTCGATTTGTGTGATCCCACACTCCTCACAGACTGGCGAGAAGACGATTTCGCCAACTTGCAAGGCGTTCTCCAAACACTTTCGCCAATGCACTGGGCACTTGTGATATTTTTCCCCTCTCGTTGGGTGCTCAACTTCTTGAAAGGCATGGCCAGGCTTAGCGTCCCTCACGTCAGGACAGGGAAGTGTGTGTGTAATGCACAAAAGTAGGCCACTGTCCGGGAAGGCAATATGCTGGTTGAGGAGTGTGACCGCCTGTATGTGATTTTTAATGGCAAGAAGCTGGAAGACAACACATTCGCAGTCTACCCAGCCAGTAGCCCAACAAACGCTTCCCGTGCTCATGGTCCAAGTCCGACCAAACACACGGTGGCAGCCCGCTCGAAAGTTGTCTGTTCGTCGGACCCATCTGGACAGGCTGTGGCGTGTTTCGACGTGCCGGAAGAGGAAAGGTTCACTCGTAGCATGTGGGAGGACGGCGGCGTGATAAGTGTTAGTGGACCTGCTTACGGGGAGATGGAGCGGAACCCGCCCCGCCTACTTGGTCTACTCGAAAACTTTTGTAAAGTTGGGCAAACTGTTTTTTTCTTTGGGAAGGCGCATGCGTCTGTCGTGTGGGAACTCCTGCGCACCGGTCGGAACGTCGTCGCGTTGGAGAAGGAGGCGAAGATGATCGATTACCTTCACGAGTTCGTGAAGACACGCATTGCAGACACTCACAATGCCTGCGAGTTTGTCCAGACCACTGGCGAACGAAACTGGGATCCCAAACGTGACATGTATTGAAAATTGTCGGGGAACAAAAGGACGGAGGTTTGGGACTTCCTTTTCCAACCCGGACCGCCTGGTCCGACCGACCTCGAATACAATCGACGGAGAAACCTGGTGTTCGGTGTGCTCAATGGGTACCACGATGCACCCAGGGAGTCTGTCTCGCATTTCCTGAGAAGGCTGGAGCACGTTTACTTCACGCTGGCCGAACCGCTCACCCTCGAAAACTACAAGTCACAGTTTGACGAGGAGGACCCTTTCGATGCTGAAGACATGGAGGAGCTGAGCGACCCCGAAACCTTCGATTTCAAGTCCATGCCACTTCCTCGGGTGGTTGGACAGGTTGGTGATGAAGAGGAAGGTGGCCCTCGGAGATATAGCATGTCCCCTGCTGGTTTGAAGCGTGTGTTTCGGGGAGATCCAGTCGACGACCATTCATCTGATGACGGGGACGAAGAGAGAGACTATGATCACGAACCTTGTGACAGGCTCCCTGAGGACCACGACACCTGGCAGAATGACAGACTATACTTCTTCGGCAAGCATCACCGGTTCACGGCGGAGGATGTCTCGGGACACAACGTCGTCTGGCACCCGAGGATATTCCAACCTGCTGTGAAGAATGGAATGTGGGTCATGGCAATGAAGGAGGCCGATGGCAAGTGGAGTGGACTGAAGAGACTGGGAGCGGGTGCATTTAAGAGAACGGGGAGACATGCTCTGGTGGAGCATTTGAGTCTTATAAACCCCGAGAGGAACGATCCGGACGTTGCTGCGTATGCAGAACAAAAGCTAAATGAGTTGTACGCCAACAACATGTTGGAGTTTCGAGCGCCTTTCTACACACTCGAAACGGCATTGTCTCGTGGCATTGACTGGCGCACGCCGCAACCTCCGTCGAGCGGTCAGCATCCAGGAGGGGGTGGAGGAGGAGACGAAGGAGACGGCGGAGGTGACGGAGGAGACAACTCACAGTTTGCCGGAAAGGGGACGGGGAAGACATCATCGGTAGAGAAGGCGTCCGACGGAAAGGGGTCAGGCGGAAAGGACTCGGGCGGAAAGGGGTCGGGCGGGAAGGGGTCGGGCGGGAAGGGGTCGGGCGGGAAGGGGTCGGGCGGAAAGGGGTCGGGCGGAAAGCGTAGAACGTCTGGTAGTCCCCAGTATAGGGAAACTGACCCCCACTGCGTAGGGAGTCGAGATTCCGACATGCGAGACGAGGCCACTCTGAAGTCTGATCAAGTGCGAGTAGATTCGCACTTGTCTGCGAGGACCTTGTTTCCCGTTGCCGAGGAGAGTCCATCTCGCTGTGCGCAGCAGAGGTTTCTTGTGCTCAACACCTTGCTCCTGAAAGAGGGCGCGTCTTCGTTTTGCCTGGAGGACGGGATGCCTGCATTGCGAAGGAGCGAAGGTGCGACCTTCGGTTCCCTCGGCTCGGGTGACCGCCGCAAACTCCGAATACATTCGGATTTGCTGACGTCGCCCTCCGCCATAAGTGCTCCTCACGCAACAGTTCCGCGGGGCCAAGAAAATGTGACGTCCTGCCCCCCGCATCTTCAGTTAAACACAGGGTTACCCTGCTCGCCTCTGTTCTCATGTGTTGAGACTCGAGACGGGCGGTCTCGCGACGTGCTATAGGGGCCCGCTGCAGGAGTGTTGGAGACCGGGGGTGGCGAGTATGAACATCATACTCCTAGGGAAGAGGAGCGCTCTCCGGGAGCGTGTGCTATACATAGGGAAGAGGAGACTCAACACTGGCAGTCTCGCAAAGTATTGGAGACCGGGGGTAGCGAGTGTGAACGTCATGCTTCGGAGGGACCCAGTGCATCCATGGACACTGACAGCGAGAGTGCAGGAGCTCCGGGGGAAACGCATGCTCTACAGCGGGGAGAGGAGACTCGACACTGGCCGCCTCGGGAAGACGTGAAGGGGCTCCACGCACGAGCGCTGGTGATCGGGACATCCAAAGAGGTTTTGCACAGTCGGTCGGGTGTGGCCACGACGCGAGAGGGTGTCGTTATGGGAGGTCAGTGGACGTTCGTGCAAGCTCCCGTTCTTGGCGACGATGAAGACGAAAAAGAACCTGCGGTGGAAGCTCGGGTTCATGGCGATGAGAAAGGCGGAGAACCCGTGGTGGAAGGCGGTGAGGTGACTGTCGGCATCCAGACGGATCCACAGCGAAAAGATGGTGATTCTTCGCTCACCCGTTGCGGTGAAGAACAAGGTGGTCGAGCGTCTGTCCTAAGCACTGCTCGGGGAATGGTGCTTCATGAAGCCATTGAGTTGGGTGACGACTCGGCTGCCACCAAGCTGGTTAGCGACTCAGGCGTGGCCGAGATGCAGAACGTTGAATCCTCCGTGGAAGGCGGTGAGGTGGCCGTCAACATCAAGATGGATCCAGAGCGGAAAAATCATGATTCTCCGTCCACCCGTTGCGGTGCAGAACAGGGTGATCGAGCATTTGTCCTCAGTACCGGTCGGGAAATGGTGCTTCATGAAGCCATCGACTTGCCAAGCGACTCAGCTGCCACCGAGCTGGTTAGCGACACAGTCGTGGCCGAGGTGCAGAACCTCGAATTGTCCGTGGACGTTGGCGCGGTGGCGCGACAGGAGGGCAAGTTCCCTCAAAGGGCTCCCGAGCACGGTAAGATTTGTGAATAGGCGCACTCGCATATCTGTCACTAGCCAACTCTATGTTCGTCCAAATTGATGTTATGGGCTAATGTACCTTTTACCACTTGTTAAAAAAAAACTTGTGGGTTGTGGGTTGTTTTCTATGTTCTAAAGGTGTGAGGTTGTCTTTCAGGGAGGTCATTGGCCGCTTTACCGAAGAAGTCGTCAAGTGTAGGGTTGTTTAAAAGGGTCCAGATGCCTTGCATTTCCTAGAGAGTTGTCAGGGTTCTAAAGGCTTGTGGAATAGATAAGGAGGAAGGTTTGCTGAAACATTTGGTTGCGTCTATTGAAAACGTTACTGCGTTGTCTGATGGGTCTCATGACGATGCCAAACGGGGTGTCTTGAAAAACCCATGTTCTAAGTACATCGCCAAGGATACATTCAACAGTCGGGGATACAACTTTTCTAGGAAAAGGGCAGACGGTTCTTAGCCATTTCGCCCCCGTGATTTTGATCACTCCTCACACTTGTTCGTGGGTGTTTGTGCAGCTGGGGCTACATCATGTTTTTGCGTTCCGTTGCCTACTGAGGAGCTTAGTGCTACGGACTTGAGAATGTTGCGGAACGTCTGTGGAGATTTCAGCAACGGCCACGAGGTGGTATCCTCGGTTCGCAAAGGGGTCAATTCAATTCTGTTGAGCAGAAAAAGTCTTCAAACTCTTGTTCAAGGGGAATGGCTTTCTGACGAGGTGGTGGAGTCGTACTTGGCCTTGCTTGCCAACGCTGCGTTACCTGGGTGTCCCTCTCTTTACATTTTCAGTTTTTTTTTCTATACCAAGCTCCTCTGTGGCGTCTATCGACATGATAGGGTTGCGAGATGGACAAAAGATGTGGATATTTTCTCATACGAGATGGTCTTGATTCCTGTCCATAAACATGGAGTGCATTGGACCCTATTGTGTCTCCGAGAACAACGGCTGGAGTACGACGACCCCCTCGTACAAGACGATGGCGGTTTTTTCTTCCGATGTGATTGCGAACTTCAGGCAATACCTCCGTGACGAAGCAGTTTGTCATTATGGTCAAAAAACGAAAGTGGATCTCCATGAGCCCAAGGTGGTTGTTCGTGGTGTCCCTCAATAATCGGACGGGTCGAGCTGCGGTGTTTTCATGCTCGCCTTCGCTTTATTTCTTGCACGTGGCTGTCCGCCACCATTTCCGATAGCCCAAAGCGACATTCCAAACATCCGGTTGAGGATTGCGGTGGACATACTCCAAGGCACTGAATGATACCACTGTTGTTAAAATACGAGTAGTTTTTTTTCGAAATGACATAAGCAGAAGTGTGAATTTATTCTCACTTGATCTACCAGTCGGCCGGTTCGAGCTGTGTTGTTGTTTTGATGAGGTACCGGATTACAGTGGACGTTTTGGTCAAGTAAATGCTTAGGTGTCGATGTGAATATCACAGCCTCGTGCTGTAGCAATTTTTTAAGGGTTCTTCATTTCGAGGAACCTGTCATCTTTACTCGTACGCCTTTTGGCAGCGCCGTGCTGCCTTTGTTTGTTTTCGGGTTGTTCTCATTGCTTGCCGCGCAACATCAGCTAGAGGGTTGCAGCGGACGCTTACGTGAAGTACAATCTTAGATGCCGATATAAATATCCCAGCCACGTGGTGCAGTATCTTTTAAGTAGACGCTTAGATATGTGATGTGAATATCCCGACTTTCAGACCGCGGCAACACCGTGCTGCGTTTGTTCGTTTCGAGGTTGTGTTGCTCTGTTACTCATGGGACGTCTTCGTCCTCTTGTAAACATTTTGCACTCATGTACTTACTGAAAGATATCGACGATTCATTCTTGGTCGCCAAATTATTTCGTGCTTATCTCTTTCGTTCGGGAGACTTTGTGGTGTGAAAGCCCCTCTCCCCCGCCCCACCCCGACCACCCAGCTTTCATATGTTTTGGCTCGTCCTTGTTCTGCGTGTGCCGCCCCATTTTACGGTTCACCCCCTCTGCTTGTCTCCATTGAATGCTGTCTGTTGGTTCCTTATGACAGTTGCAAACTTGTTCTCCATTCGGAAACCAATTGTCGCCAGAATATATGTGTGCTTGAAATTGTTTTACGGATTCAGCGGTGCACTAAATGATTACCAATTTTGTTGTCTTTGGAATACATTCCATGCTCTCCACGGAATGCTGGTTGTTGTTTCCGTATGAGAAATGCGAACATATTCGCACTTTGGATGCCGTACATTTGTGATTGAACTCTTGGTTTCATATGAGAAATGCGAACATATTTGCACTTTGGCTCCATGTACTTTGTGATTTTTGGAAAGCCTCTGTGCAACTTGTAATGTGGGATTGTATGATATTTTTCGTTGAATGATTTTTTGAAACGTCTCTGTGTGCTTTGCAATTTGCCATTGAATGAATGTTTTGCATTGAATGGTTTCTGAAAGCTGTTTGTGTGCTGTGAGACTTCACCTGTGGAAAAATACTAGGCATTTTGAGATGTTTTCACCTCGATGTTTGCGATATCTCTGTGTGCTTTTCAATTTGACTTGAGATGTTTTCATCTCGATGTTTGCGATGACAAGAGATACTTGTTTGAATGGATATGAATCTTCTACACAGAAAGATTTGATGGCGTTTTCAATCTGGAATATACAAATGACGCGTCAATGTCCATATTAAATCGTCGCGCTGATAGACTGTGCAACTGCTTCTCCATCAAAGTGCGAGTTCAATCGTACTTCTGGTGTGAACCCTGAGCAATTCCCTCGCACTTTGCTTCACGTCGAGGAGGGGATCGAACGCACCGCCGGTAAGCACCTGCACATCACAAAACAAGAGCACGTGCCAATTGGAACATCGTCGGGTTCTTGCGATGTCGACTCCCACATGATGACTACACTGAACAACGGTAGGATGACCGCTCCGCCTCTCCGATGTGGATCCAACGGTGGATTGCGTCCAATCTGCTCTCATAGATCCGCGTCGAGGATGAGGGACGGGATCCGACCACAGTTTGCTTGTGAGGCATCATATGATGTGTCGATATAACCGTCATCCAGAACTGCTTGGTGAGCATCTAGTGTTACGCCAATAAGTTCCAAACACGACAGCAAAGTCCCCTAAGAGTGTTCTTTGTCGGGTCCTCACCTCATCGACTCTCAAGAGGACTACAGCCAACAGCGGTAGGATGGCAGGTCCGCCTATTCGATGTAGATCTCACGGTGGAGTGCGAAACTCTGCCCTCAAAGATCCACACCGGGTAGAAGGTCCTGCAATCAGCAGCTGCTTGCTTGTAAGGCATCTTATGATGTGTCGATATGACCGACATCCAGAACTGCTTAGTGAGTCTAGTGCTACGCCAATATGTTCCAAACACGGCAGCAAAGTCCCCTAGCAGTGTTCTTTGCCGGATCCTCACCTCGTCGACTCCCTCAAAATGACTACAGCTGACAGAGGTAGGATGGCAGGTCCACCTATCCGATGTGGATCTCACGGTGGAGTGCGAAACTCTGCTCTCAAAGATCCACACCAGGTAGAAGGTCCTGCAAGCAGCCGCTGCTCGCTTGTAAGGCATCTTATGATTTGTCGATATAATCGACATCCCGAACTGTTTGGTGTACATCTATTGCTACGCCGATAAGTTCCAAAAACACGGCAGCAAAGTCCCCTAAGATTTTTCTTTGCCGGGTCCTCACCTCATCGACTACCTCAAGATGACTACAACTAACAGCGGTAGGATGGCAGGTCCACCTCTCTTATGTGGATCTCACGATGGAGTGCGAAACTCTGCTCTCAAAGATCCATACCGGGTAGAAGGTCCTGCAAGCAGCCGCTGCTTGCTTGTAAGGCATCTTACGATGTGTCGATATAACCGACATCCAGAACTGCTTGGTGAGCATCTAGTGCTACGCCAATATGTTCTGAACATGACCGCAAGGTCCCCTAAGAATGCTTTTAGCACTTGAGTCCTCTGACCGACGACTGTTTGGCACTTCGTGAAGGTTGACACTTCTTGAAGTTGGTCTGCCACTTCTTAAAGGTGGTCAGTCACCAAACATATCACGACCAGACATCAACCCTGATAACTGCGAATTGACTCGCTGTTCAACTAGAGTCTTTCTCTCTCTCTCTCTCTCTCTCTCTCTCTATATATATATATATATATATATATATATATATATATATATATATATATATATCCCTCTCTCTCTCT